ACATGGAGGAATGTCAATGCGTTTCGACCAGTAAGATGGTCTTCTTCAGGGCATAATGGAAGAACAGGACACACAGATAACATTAAATACAAATAACTGTCAATCACATGACCACATCACATGACTATAGGAAAAAGAGACAATGGACAAAAAAAAATAAAAATACCTGGAGTTGTGTTTTGTTTCATTCACACGTTTAAAGTGCAAATCTTACATATTTAGGTTGCATTCTTCTCTCAAACTGGAAACACTCTGGTACACCTTGTGATGAAATGTGATAATATAGGAAGTGCTCCACTGTGTTTATAAACTCCATGCACCTTCACTAAAATCATTTGGATAATTTCAGCCCTGGAATTGCCAATCTCTACTAGACAAAAGGTAAAAGGTAGCTCTTCATGACATCACAAGGTAGAGCATTTTGAGCTTTGGAGATGCAGACAAACTAAAAATAAAGAGTTGCTCAAATATGACTGAACTCACAAGAGCCAGTTTTGTCTAGTATATGACTTTTAAACTTATTTATCTGCAAGCAGGTGGCACCACTAGTAAGGAATTACTGTTTTTAATGTCATACTGTGTAGAAAATTTCAGGCAAATCTTTAACATACTGTATCCTGCAAGTGGTGGACCCTTCACCAGAAAAGTTACACAGTGTACTTTTAAATATATGTCATTTCACACACACCAGCAAGGCAGGTTAAGTGTCTTGCCGAAGAACACAATGGCAGTATAGATCAGAGCTGGGAACAAATAAACCTATAGGTGGTTGAACATGGACTGCTTGGAACATCACTGCTTTCCCCAAATTGCAAATGTCCTACAGAATCTAAAAAGAGAACAGAAAAACTTCTTTAGCCAGCTTGACTTAAATATTGGACTCCTTCTCAGTTCCTAGACTTGGACTTGCACTTGTGGACTGTCTACTTCACTTTCATGTTTCTCGGCACTGGTCCCTTCTGACAGCACAGAACACACATCCATGTCCAGTGTCCAATAAGAGCAAATAGGATGAAGTGAAGCAGGTTGGTATCCTCCGGAGGGACACCACGGATGATCAGGTCTAATCAGTAACACTGTTCTTATTGATCATAGAACCTTTAACATGCTTGTACGCACATGCACACACGCACACACACACAAACACACCTCATGAACCCATCGACAAAGTTCTGGCTCAAAATGAGACACACACTAAACTTATAAGGAAAGATATGACCAAAGTAACTCCACTGAGATAGTGTCTTAATGTCAACAAATTCTTTAAACATCATTCTACCATTCTATACTTTTGTACTTTCAATAAATGCATGTAAATATAATAATACAGGGACAAACATTAGTCACTAACAAGGGCAAAAACTCGTATTTACTTATAGCAACCTACTGTGTATTTCTACTTGGAAAACATACTTCTATTTACTTTACAGTGGCTGAGTGGTTGGTCAGTTTTGCAATATTGACTGATGCAATGCAGCAAAACACCAAGGTTCTTTATCTGACAAAAATTCACTTTTTAAACATTTTTTAAATAAATAATATGTTAAATAAGGCAGATTTTATTAATGAGTTTCCAGCATTTGAGTCACCTTGATTTAATCCAAGTTTTTATTTTGATAGAGTTACTGGTAAATTAAAGCATGTCATTTTTTATTAATCAAATATTTTATAGTAAAATAATACTGATATCAGAGTTCTTAACAGTCATATTGCATATCACAATTTTTTTCAATATCGTGTAGCCCTAGTGGTTAGCATTCCTAACTCATGAGAAAAAAAAGGGTCCGATTTTCATTCCCGGATTAGGTAGCGTAGGCAGGTGCAGTTTGCTTTTTATTCTCCTTCTCTTCTGTTTTCCACCCATTAAACTCTGAGATTCTCCAGCTAGGTACTCTGACTATGAACCAACATCAAGATAAGTTTTCTTTAGCAGCATTTAAGGTCCAACATTAAACAAAATTGACTCTTCTGATCTTTAAACCATGTTACAACATTTTTACCTCCTCAAAAACATACCTGGAGTTGTGTTTTGTTTCATTCATGTGTTTGTTCGAGTAATCCTTTATTGTTAGTCTACATCTTCAAAGCTCTAAATGCTGTCTTCCACATTGTGATATCATGAAGCGATACTTTTAAAGTTAGCAGCTGCATTTTACCTTTTGTTTAGTAGAGATTGGCAATTCCAAGGCTGAAATTATCCCTTTGACTCTACTGAAGGTGTATAGCGTTAAAAAACACAGTGGTGCACTTCCTGTATTACCACATGGCATAAGGTAGTGTTTTCAGTTTAAGAGAAGAACTAAATTTGTGTGTTAAGGATTTGTGTGTTAAACATGTGTGAATGAAACATAATGCAACTCCAGGGATGTTTTTGATGAGGACATTACAGCACAGATTAGAAAAAAATCGTATACCCTTTAAGAGATGGATCAATTTTGAAGACTATTTTCTCTTTGGGGAAAAGGTATAAAGTGCATACCTTAGCCTTCTATCACACCCTCCTGAGACTGGCATTCATTGGTTTGTCCATCGTTTTACATTCAAACTGACCACACACACACATAGCAGCTATTTGATTCCCCATAATCACCCTTTCATTCTCATCAGGAGAACAGGCACTGGCTATGATCTACTGCAGAACGTTGTTTCTCAGTCTCAGGAGTCCTCTTGGGTCTTAAACAGCGTTGGTCCACATTAGATAACCTGCACATTAGGCTCAGTACACACAGAGTTACAGAGGCGGCTGCAGGGACCATCATAATGTATCATAAGAGCAGGAAAGAGAAATCCCCAAAGCCAAGTGGAATGAACGCCATCGGAGCTGGCAGTAAATCATCGCTGGGTTAGAGCCAGGGAAAAGGAGGGCTGGACCGGATTTCACCCACAGCCCAGATTTAATAGGAAACAGTCTATAGGAGAATTATACAGAGACAATGTGAATACAGCACGTCCACTTTAGTTACACAGACTACTGGTTTCTCCTTTCTTAAACCTCAAATAATACAAAATATACCTGCTACATATCAGAAAAATTTATGCAATGTAAAAAAATTAAGTGTGTTATATAAATGAATGATTTTTAATTATAAATCCACTGTAATATTTCCTGCAATCAATTATCCTCATTTAAGTGTCCTCATTTAAAAATGCATTGGTTCAATATTTATATAACCCGTGTAATTGTTCTTGATCATTTTGTTGAATTTTCTTGTCCATCTTGTTGTGACTATATTTGAACTTTTTTTTAAATTTGATTTATTATGTGCCTGACAGTCAAGTGTGAGTGAGTGTGTGTGTGGTTGTGTTGATTTTGTTGTTTTGTTTTTTCTATGTTTATTTGAATGTATGCATCCTCCTGTCTGTCCTACTGTATCTGTGTTCTGTTGTTGTGACTATGAGGACCTAGCCAGGCTGGCGCCACCTAGTGCCTCCGCTCAATTTCATTTCTCTCCAGCGACTAGGTCAGGAATCGGAATACACTAAATGGTTTGCAAGAACCCCAGAAGTGTGAGTTTGGGCACCAGCCAATCAGCAAAGAGCCATACATTCTGTGTTTGCAACAATTCCCCGAGGTCGAGGATTTAAAGCCGGAACAAAGAGAATGTTTGGTGAATTTTATCAAGGGGAAAGACGTTATTGCCCTTCTTCCTACAGGATTTGGGAAAAGCTTAATATACCAGTTAGCCCCATTAGCGGTGCATTACATATGTCACAACCAAATAGAAGTGATTGGTTAAATAAAAAAAAGTACCTGCCTACTGTCGAGTGAACAAATTCTATTGCTGCGAGGTCAGGGTCCCCTCGAAAATGAGATGGTGGGCCATCTCAAGGGGCTTATCCTCCAAACAAATAAATTCAAATTCCTATTAAAGGTGCACTATGTAACTTTTTAGCTGTTTCTATGGATATGTCATTGCTCTGCCCAGAATATTCTACAGATTGTCGTTAAGCAACTCTGGCTTTATGGGTCAAAAATACCTACAAAATCAGACACTCTGACTGTGAAAGTGGTTGCCTCTCCACAGATTTGACCTGTAACTTAGTTAAAACATTCCAGACTAAGCTAAGATCCTCCACTAGAAAGGTTACAGAATGCACCTTTAAATACAACAACAAAATAAAACATGATATGAAGTGTGTACCGAATCTGAATAAGGAGATTACACAATTGAACTGCAAATATGAACTGATTTCTATTCTAGTTTATTAACAGGCACATGGCAACCAGCTAGAAATAGGATGACTTTTATTATGTGACGAGTGCATCACTTCTACAGGGATGACTGAACGTAATATATTGTAATAGTTTCAGGATGATAAAGAGATCCTGCTTATTGTATGTGATAGCTCCGAGAGACCAAGGGGAGAACTCAGCGAGGTTATTTAAAGGGAAGGTGTACGGGGAAAACTAGAAAGTGACTATTGTATGAGATGATACCCAGTCTGTAAAATGTTGAAATGCCATATCTAAACACACTGACTTAAAATATTCTGTCCCAAGAAACAGCAAAGTATCGTGTTTTCATATCATCTCTTTATTCTTAATTTATTTTGTACAGACAGGGCTGCTGCTGTAAATCTATATTACTGTACAATAGGTTAGTTGCCATAGTCTCTCAAAATATGGGGCTCATGTGATCATGTTCTGTCCATATTTAGACCTCATTATCTTATATATACTCTCTCTTTCTAACACATTACTTTCCACTGTTTTCAAACCATGCAACACTGAAGAGTTTCTCAGCAGTCAGACCGCTGTGTCCTTTGGCTTTGTCTAGCTCTTGTTGCATGTGGCTCCATGCATGTTACACTGTTGGGTTGCATCCTCACGCACAGAGGATATGCGCAATAACTCACTCCTATAAAGACTGTATTGTGAGTTTTATAGAAATATGATTAAGATTCCAAACACATATGTTGGTGTTCAGTCATTTTTACGTCCATGTGTTTATGTTCTCATTGCCTTGTACTTCCTGGATCCAGAGGGGTGTGTTCTTTGCTCACAATCGCTCTATGTCACGGTACTTCTTCCTCAGGATAGACACCTGGTCCCGGAACAGCACAGGGTCCAGCCTCATCTGGGAGTGCACCAGGGGCATGAAGCCAAGCCAGCGGCTGAAGGCGTTCATGCAGGTTTGCCTCTGAGCAAAGTGGTCCGGGTCTGCCCAGCGCGACGTCTTTGAGCCCTGGACACACAAACAAGACAATGGAAGGGTAGGAGTCAAATGATGGGTTAAATGCTGATAAAAAGTTTAAGTAAGGTAAGTTTGTTTATATTAGTAGCAGCATAGAGTATTAAGGACTGGAACAGCTACAGGAGACAGGGCATGTAGCTGTTAGCAGGACTCAATAAAGGCCTATATTATGCTATTTTCTGATCAATGTTATGTTAATGTTGTTTCCTCATAGAAAACATACCTGGAATTGTGTTTTGTTTCATTCACACATGTTTGTAACACAAACACTGCACATTTAGGCTTAGTTCTTCACTCAAATAAAAAAAATACACCTTCACTTGAGTCATTTGGGTGATTTCAGCCCTGGAATAGCAGATCTCTGCTAAATAAAAGGTAAAAGGCAGCTGTTACCTACCTTGAAGCTACCACTTCAAGACATCACAAGGTGGAACACAGCATTTTGAGCTTTAGTGATGTAGACAGACTACCAATAACGAGTTACAAAACAAAACACAACACCAAATGTGTTTTTGAGGAGGCAACAACATTCTAACAAGGCGTAAAGCTCACAAGAGTTAATTTTGCATAATATAGGACCTTTCTGATGAAGGCACCCCCTGCTTGTCCAAGGAGATGTTATTGCTTTGCCAGGCATGTTCCACACAAAGAACTGCATTAAACTTAGCGAATATATCTCAATGGTTGCGAGAAGGTCTCTATACCAAGTTACCATAACACCTTTAAAACAGGAAAAGACAGATGTTTTCTGCTTCAAACCATGCTAGAAATATCAAACAGAGTTGCAATGAAATGACACTCTTTCAAGTTTTATAGTGTGTGCAAAGTTCCTCAGAGTTGCATAAAATGTAATCTCTCAATTTGCTATGCTTTCTTAACTGATCCTAACTGACATGTGCACTCAACTTGTTTGCTGCGTGCACTTGGGGACAAACTCGCCAGCCATAAAAACATAGTTAGAAAGAAGATAAGCAAAAGTAGGTTTCCATTCATCACAATGGCTCATGGTCATGCTGTGCTGTGGGAGAGCTTGGTCTAATGTACTGGGAAGGCAAGCTGGTGCATGGGGGCAGATGGGGGTAAGATAGGGGCCAGTGAACCTCAATGACAATGTAAAACAAAATGGAACCGAAAAAATTATGCTATACCAGGCCACAAAGGGTCCAGTATTGATACTTTGCAGTGACATGATGCTGGGGTTGTTCTGCATGTATGTCTATTGGTGGAATCCACACATTAGAAAACAGAGTCAAAAAACTTTAAAGATAGTCTGAAAACTCAAGAAAATATAAACAGAAAAATAAAGGTGTTGGATTTTCATCAAAAAACTCAAAAATTCTTGGCCAATGCTATTGAGCTTGAGGGGAACTTGTTTAACGTCTCACCTCAAATTCCGTTAAAATAAATCTCACATTAAGTCTAACTTGAGTAACAGAACTTCTAACAGAGTCGTGCTTTCAGTTAGCTTCACACCGCCAGGGAATATTGATGAGCTGCAAAATATCAATAGTCCAGTATAGCAGTGGCAAATATAATCTTAAACAATCAAAATTTCAATTTAAAGTTTCACAAGCTCTAATTTGTCAACCTTCCAAAAAAAAATTACTGACCAAAACTGGCAAGTGTACACTCTAAATAAAGCCCATCAAAACAAAATGAAAAAATCGAAAGAAAAAAAGGGAGTAAGTTTGGTAAGTTTGCTGCCCTGCCTTCACAATTAAGACATTAATCACAGGGTCCATACTGCAGAGTCATCGTGCTGCTGCGGTCAGGCTATCAATCACCACAGGCTGACCGCGAGACGTGTGTATAAGGACTGGCACATCCACACCAGAGAGAGAGGGGGGATGGAGGGGGGCACTGAGATAAGGTCAGAGACAAACCAAGCACAAGGGGGCGACGCAATCAGTCAACAATAATGCAGTAACTATGGACTTAGGGTGGGTTCTTTTCACACTAGTCCTGGTTTGGTCCTGTTATAGTCTTGGTTTAGTTCTGTTTTAGTTGCAGTTAGTCACAATTTTGACCTAATGTGCATACAATTGTGAACACAGTCTTGTCTGTGTTTCTTCCATACTGATCCATTGTTATTATAAAAAAGTTTACCTAAGTTACAAACAGATCTGAGCACATTTGATCAAATTGTTATGTATTTCATTTTAACAATGAATTTGTATACTATGTGAAAATCTTAAAGGTGCACTACATAACATTACTAGTGGAGAGTCTGCCATCTGCTTGTCTCAATGGAAAAGTTATGGCTTTGTCTAGAATGTTCCACAGTGTACTGTATATGTAGAATTTCTCAGTTGTCCAGGTAGAATCCATGGCAAGAGAGAAATTCAGTTTTTCAACTGGGCAAATATTTATTTAGGTCAAAAATGTTTCGCAGCTCATCCAAGCTGCTTCTTCAGTTCTGGTTGGAACGCTGGTGGACACTGCCTTATATCTGCCTGTATGGAGGAGCTAACTACACTGAAACAAGTCTGAAATGAACATCCTACTTAGGCCTATTCATCTCTAATGAGTGTGGGGTCATAATGAATGTTTTCACACATCTCTGGCCCTGTCCTGGCCCCCCCTGTTGTTTTCTTTGTTTTAGGTTTGAGAATGGAGTCTTAGATGGGAGACATGTCTGAGACCTCCATTTTCCAAGGAAGGATTGTCTTTCCTAACAAAGTAGTACAGTTTAAACTCAACTATCATGAGGGAGGCCAGCAGGTTACAGCACTACGCTACATTACAATTCAGATCTGTGGAGAGTCACGCCTGTTCACAGAAGGAATGTATTTCTGAGTGAGAGAAACACCCATAAAAAATGAATGCTGGATGTATAAGTTGAATATCATAGCATGAAACATTCCAGGCAAAGCAATAACATTTCCATGGAGACAAGCAGGTGGCAGACCCTCCACCAGAAAAGCTGAGCACTGAACTTTAACAGCAATTTTAATGTTTTCTTTCATTTCTATGTCTATAGATACCTGTGCCATCATGGTCTCCTTGTACTGCTTCTTCTGTGTGACTTTGATAGGCGGTTGCTTAGTAACGGCCGACACCAGGAAGTTCATGAGAATGTCCTCGCAGTTGGCCATGCGGTCCACTGTCTTCAGCAGATTGGCTGGGACGTACCGTGTAAACAAGTAGTGATAGTACCTATGAAAAGAGACAAGGAGAAACCCATTTGTGCATTTCAGTTCTGCTCTGTCCCTCTCCAAAATGGTTGCCATGTTGCACCCTCAGCAGCAGGTCCAGAGCACTAGATCACTGTCAGTGTTTCACCTCCACTCCAAGGCCTGCTGTCCCACTCTCTCTCCCTCATATATACTTTTCACTAAACCTCATTTAGTGTATATCGAGTGGGACATTATTGTGTATTTATTTATTTGTGTTTTTGACAGTTATCAGTAACATTTGCAGTTAGTAAGTACATAACCACACTGTCATATTCAGTTTTATAAAGTAAACAGGCATACTCTGTTCCTTTACTTGAGTTTTTTTCTACTAAAAGTTGGTTCCCTAAGCTGTGTCTTTTATGCCTCAGTATTTATTAATGAATTCTACTGAATACTATATTAAATGTGCAGGTGCCAGGAAGTAGTAAACTCTTTAATAATTTTCATTTTTGTCAGTATTTTGAGTACTGTAATAAATTTCTTTTAATTACTTTTGACTGAAGTTGAAAGCTAGCAACCCCAGATTATTAATGCATACATATTAAAGGTGCACTATGCAACTTTTCTGGCTACCTGCTTGTCTATATTGAGATGTTATTGTTTTGTCAGGAACGTTCAATAGTATAGAAGTATTAGTAATAAATGATCCATCTTGCATGTACTCAATTACAAGTGCTTTTATTGATGAAAAATACCTTGAAAACATGCATCTTTACTGTGTGTGAGCTTGCACTCTGAATATTCCAGGTAAAGTAATCATATCTCCATAGAAAGAAGCAGGTCCAGAAGGGTTACATACAGTGGCGATCTTAAATGCTTTTCATCAAACTTCATTTACTGACTAACCTCACGCCTGAAGCAAATGAGTTTCTAAAAATACAACTAAAGAGGACTAATGAGAATTGCATGAATGTGACAATAAGTGTTTATTCACAAGTCACTTGAGAGAAGAGCATTACTCAATTTAACGCTCTGCTTCCTGCTTTGTTTTTTGTCATCATCTTATAAGGTATCAAACCAGAATAAATTATCTAAATGTATTTAAATGTATTTTCTGTTACAATGCCAAACAGTTTTAAATAGTCTACAAGATATTTAACTAATTACAGCGAATAGGTTACAAGATTTTATTACAGATGCTCAACCAACAGTATAATACTATTTTGATCTCCTCATACCTGTGGTAGAAGGCTGCCCCTGTCAGTACCATGGAGTAGTCATTGGTCCATTTAGAGGTGTAGCCCCAGCGCGACCTGGAGCTGTCCCAGTAGTGACTCCGGGCTGGATATCCCACAATCCTCTCTGGGAAACTCTGCCACACAATGAAGGCGAAATCCACCTGAGAGCACATACACAGACAAGAAATGAGCAGGTTAAATGGAAAACAAGATGGCAGTAGAATAGAAAGCACAAAGACAAGGCATGATGCAAATTTCTGCAAAAACTATTTAGGATTTAAACAGCTGGTCCTGAGGTAAACAGATCACAGCATCTTAAGATTAGCTCCAAATGGGTTTTAGCGCATCACCGGCGCACAGCCACCACGCCTTTAAAACTTTTAATTAGCCAGAGTTTGGTGATAACTTTTCTGCTCAGTGGCTACCATGGCTAGCCCTGGTCAAAGGCTACTTGCTAATTATTGCCATTGCAGTGTGTTGCATATTGTTCTTTTACTGTAATACATAGTTTGTTTGTAGTTCTTTATTTACCCATTTTATTCTATACCCATTTACTAGGGATGTAACAGTAAATCAAAATACTGTGATATTGTATCGTCAAAAGTCTCACAATAATATCGTGGGCTGTCACAATGTATCGAACTACAAGTTCCTTTGCTTAAATGCATAGTTTTATAGTACCAATAGCTAATAAACATAGGGAACTACATATCCCATGATTCATTTCAATTCAGACAACATGAACAAATATGTTTTTACTTGAATTATGAGGGTAATAAATCACATCAAAATCTTGTCAGGGTATTTTAAAAGCAAAAAAGTGTCCTATCCAAAATATCGTAATGACAGATTTGGATATGGTTACATCCCTACCATTTACCTTTATATTTAACACATACAATATATGTATGATCCCTGCTTCTGAACAGATACAGAATGTTGGTTGATAACCTGAACTCACTACTAAAACAAAAGTCTTAAACTTACAGATTGATAAGAAGCAGTAAAATATCTGAGCTATAGTAATAACACCTTTGATATTACAGTTAGTACAATGTCTGTTTTTTCCACAGAGATGTTTTTGTGTTTCATAGAACGTTCTATTATATAAAAATATGGTTGTTTTTGTTGCTCAAAAATACCTTGAGCTTGCCAATCGAGCTGTAACTGACCTGTAACTTATCTTACAGCATCACTTGCTCATTTTCATGGTGATAGATATACTTTATAACATACTGTGTAACTTTCAGCACATAGCAATAACCACTGTTGGGCACGTTACTTCAAAAACTGTAATGCATTATTTATTACTTGTTACTGTAGTGTCATAGTAATTTGTTATACTACTATATTACTGCATTTAAAGTGTAAAGAATTACTCTACTATTGCATTACTTTTAAGTTACTCTCACCAAACTAACAGTATGAAGATGCCAAACTTTTGCACCCTTTATGGACTGAACCAGGACTAAACCAGGACTAATCTTTTAATAGGACTTGGAATCTAGGACCGCCCCTGAGAGAACCCCAAGCCCGTGGAGCAGGGTGTCCGCAAAGCGCAATCGGGCGTCAGCTGCGGTTAGCTCCTTGTAGCGTGGACCGTGGTCCTTTCACCCTCGGCCACCCAACTGTCTACGCAGGCTCATCTCCGGGCCCATCCCGACACTCAGAACTGTAATCGTGGTGTTTCACCGCTGCTGATTTTTATGAAGAAAAACAAAAAACCCACCACTTCAATCCAAGTTAAAAAAGCACTGTAACGCGTGTTACTGACATTTGTACCAAGTAAAAGTTACACAGGGCAGTTTTAATCAATATTTTTAAACCAACTACATTTGCAAAAAAAAGAAAGCAAAAAAAGAAAAACTCTTGCTAAAAGTTCCTTCACTTCAGATTTTCAGTTAAGCTATTACTCGGTGTTATGTAAAGCCCCCACTGTCCTTGAGGAGAATTGAGCCACCTGACGAGCTCCACCTTTAGAATCGAAAACCACTATTAAGACATTCAACCCGAGACACAGCGCAGAATGGAGGGATCAGCACATAATGAAATACTTGGTAATACACACACACACGCACACAGACACACAGACACACAGACACACACACTTTGGAGAGCCCACAGAGGAAATTAATTACCAGGAGGAGGAGAGGAGGAGAGGAGGAGAGAGTCGGAGGAAAGTGGATGTTCTTTAGTGATACCTCGCGGCTCCTGTCACCAATCGTGTGAGCAATTACAGTACAGATCCCGCTCTAAGCCCACAGAAAAGGTTGAGGCTGCCAGTCTAGACATATGTGCCTTGCCAAGTGTCACAAGTCGGCAGCGCGGCTCTGCAAGGATTAATGATATCATGCAAATATCATTTCGCCTTTACGGATTAAATTGCTCTTTATAATGTGAAGTGACGCGTGTGGGGATGTGGGTGACAGGAGACAGGATCCAGCACGCTCATAATCTGTCCAGACTAATTATGGCACTAAACGCTAGGGCGAAGAGGGGAGAGATATGGGAGACAGGGGGGCATGTGTCAATGTATGTACAGTAATATAAAGCAGAGGATCAGGAGGTGTGCTGTTATCATGCTAGTTATTTTTAGTTTGACCGTGATGGTGTCTGAAAGTTGAGACAAGTGCTTAGAAACTCATTACTGTGAGTAATTAGGATACTAGGGATGTGTTGGGAAAGTGAGGAGTACCTTTTTTCCCGCTATTTTCTGATTTATCATGTTTCCTCATCAGAAACAGACTGTTCTTCTCTCAGACAGAACCCACTCTGTTCCACCTTGTGATGTCATGTGGTAATACAGGAAGTGCTCCACTGTGTTTTTAAACTCCATACACCTTCACTAGAATCACATTTGAGCCCTCAAATTGCCAATCTCTACTGAACAAAAGGTAAAAGGAGCTGTTAACTTGAAACCTACCACAGCATGACATCACAAGGTGGAACAGAGCATTTTGAGCTTTGGGGATGTAAACAGACTAATAATCAAGAATTACTCAAGCATGTGTGAATGAAACAAACACAACTCCAGGCATGTTTCTGATGAAGAACATTATAATATGGCTTAAAGCAAGAGTCAATTTTGCGTATTATAGGACCTTTAAATACAACTGTGCGAAGTGAAGGAGTACTTGGTTGGAGGTAAATATTTCCATCTGAAATTAAAGGTGGGAGATACTGTAAATCTCCATGGGCTTCGCAATGATGAAAAAAATCATTTTTAAACAAAATATTATATCTTTCAAATGGAAAAAGTGAAAGTTGTCAAAGTCAAAAAGAAAAAGTCAGTTGCAAAGAACAGGACGCTCAAATCCATGAATATTGAAATATCAAAATAGTTATTCTGAAGACATGCAAAAGATGAATAACAAAAATTGTCATTTATAAAACTATTTCAAAAAGCCACAAAAAGAGGCCCAATGTTTTGCTTTTATTATCTTATCTTATCCATGGGAAGAATACTGAAACACTGAAAGAATACTGAAAATATATTTAGTTACAGAATACCTGTATTGAAATGTATTTTGTAACATATTCTGACACATGGTCCAATCAGAATACTGGATTCGGAACAGTAAGACATTGAGTCGCATTTGAATTATACTATAAAACGCAACATAGGATTAAAAACTGCTTAATGTTTGTTTCACCTTTTGTTAGGCATCTCGTAAATTAAAGAAGGAAAGATCATTATTTCTATTTTTTTCCAGTATCTACGTGCAGTTTAAACACAAAACTGCGTGATCAAGTAGTGCAATGTATTCCTTTAATTTTTGTAAAGTAACTGTATTGTACTAATACCACTAGGGGTGTAACAATATCCAAGCCAAGAAGATACAATATCGTCACGGTATGAACATCACAGTACGATATTTATTGAGATATCAAGGAAAAACTCACGATATGGTGTGGAGGCTCATGATTAGGAATGCAACAATATGCATATCTATCTGTATAATATTTTCATGATATAAATCTCACGGTATAGTTATTGCAATATTTGTGGAGGCTAACAAAACTGTTAATATACTACTTTTTCCTCTTAAATGCCTTGACATGATATAATCCAAAGTACTAAGACTTAAAAGTGCTTAGAACTATTATTTCTTCTTGTGGTCTACACTGAAATGAAGCAAAGGATCATGGTCTATGTAGTTCCCTCATTTTTTAGTTATTGCTGCACCATAACTCTTAATTTAAGCAAAGAGACTTGTAATTTGATATATTGTGATGGTCCACGATATTATTGTGAGAACTCTGACGATACAATATCACGATATTTCAGTTATTGTTACATCCCTAAATACCTCCAAATAAAAAAAGTAACTGCACTGGAATATAGTTACTCAAAATGTGAATTCTGAATATGTATTTATGGTACATGTATTCAGTTACTTCCCAACACTACAGATAATCAATATAGATCCAATAGAACAATGTATTGAACATCTGTACAGACAAAAGTACACTAATGTGACATCGCCCTGCAACAATCAAATCAATGTGTATTAAATTAACTGTGCCAATAGGTGACTGTGAAACTGTGAAAGCAAGTCTTAAGGTTAGAGTAAGGTGAATGTTAAGTCAACCACAACCAGCTACAATGCTAACGCTAACGTACCGCACATACAGATGAGGGCACGTGGCTAGCATTGATCCACAGAGCCAAGAGTCAATCCAGCCATAGATCTGGTGCAAATCTCTACAGACGCTTGGATTTAAAGTGTCCGATGTTATGAGATGAAGGAGTTACGGCGTCTGTGTTAGAAGTCTTATCTTATTTCTTTTCAAGTGTGGACTGAGAAAAGTGGTGGTGCGCGGCTACACGAGGAGGATGAAAAGTAGTTGATCTAAAATGTCAGAGAGAAATCAGAATTAAAAGAATATGTGGGCAGATGAAGTAACTATAACATGCTGTACTCTCTCTCTCTCTCTCTCTCTCTCTCTCTCTCTCTCTCTCTCTCTCTCTCTCTCTCTCATATATATATAATATATATATATATATATATATATATATATATATATATATGCTTCATTGTTGTCAGAACTATGTGACAGACAACTAATTGAAGCATTCTTATGTAAGTAAAAGAGTTACAGTTTCAAAGAGGATATTTCTACACATTGTACTATTTTACATTAACATAAAATACATACG